GTTTTCTCCAGATACTCAGTTTTTCTCCCACAGACCTAAAAATATACATATTAGGCTGCCTTCGAGCCCTTCGAGCTCTTAGGATTTGCCTGGTTAAATAAAGGTTAGTAAATTCTTGGCGTCCATGATCAAATGAAAAAATTATTTAGCTCAAGATTTTTGTAGTTGTATTTTACTTTACATTACACTTCTCTTGACCTCCACTTGTTCACTTTAATTTAAAAACAACCTGAACAATTTGCTGCCACACATAAAACGAATAAATATTAGTCCTAGAAAAAAAGACTTCAGAAAGCCTGCATAAATAATGAAAAAGACCACTTTATAAGTAAAACATAAAAGGATCAACTAATAGTTTTTGTATAATTTGAAAAAGTTTAATAAGTTAATCTTTTACTTTTCGCAATCCTTGTGCACTTTTTTATCTCTGAAACAAGCTAAAAAAAATAGATGAAAAACGTGGAAAATATACATTTTTCCCTATCAACACACTTTCGATCTAACCGATTCGCAGTCACGTGGTCCGCAAACGTCACTTCCGCTCCGCAGAACCTGGAAGAAGCTCTGGGAGCTGCGAGGCCACTGAGGCTGGGTTTAATTTAGYGCTGAGGGGCTCGAAGTGGACCGAAGCCCGACTGGATTAATGTGGACGCGGCAGCGCGACGTGCCAGCCGGGCCACACCGACCGAACCGAGCCGACACGGCGGCTAAGAGCTGCTGCTAACCGAGCCTCCATCTGTTAGCAAAGCAGAGACGGAGCCTCTGTGCAGCCAGCGGAGTTTGTAGCTCAYACACTGCACTTCTTACACCACACCTGGTGGATGAATGATGTCTGCCGCCAGTATCGACCCTCAGGTGAGCAGAGAGGAGGCTGTTAGGTTGTTGTTTTATGGTCTGGGAGCTGAGTCGAGCTGGGAGTTATTCCCACCGCAGGGACGATGCTACCGCCCGGCAGCTATCAGCTAGTTAGCCGACGGAGCAGAGAGGTTAGCTGCAAAAATGATCTGCTAGAAACCTCAMCAAGGCCTGGACCTCAGCCTCCTCTGAATGTCTGACAGCTCGGTGCTGTCGGCTTGTTTCACTAATGTTTATAGATTAGTTATTTGATTAGATCTGAGGATGAGGCTATGATGATGAGATGGTGTGAATACTAGACAGTCTCACTCTGTTCTCTCTTTTTAACATGGTTATGAAGACATCAAAGGGACAAGATGCAAGCAAGGGTAAGAGAATAATGTACTTTCTCTCAGGTATTCCTCTGTAAAGATGTCACACACTTACCTGCAATAAACTACGTGTTTCTTATTTCAGCTGTTTGGATCCTTATATAGGGGATGTGGATACTTTTTTTTTTTTATCTTACACCAATATTAAATCTGACAGCGGATTCCAAAAGAACATTTCAAACCATACAAAATAACACCAAAATCATCTGATTATCTGAAGTATGAGGGAAGTTATTGATGTTTGTTTAGGTGAAATCAGCTCATGTTTTCTTGCTGCAGTTCTCAGCAGAACCAGTGTGATCATTTCACCTTGCTGTTTTCTAATTTTGCTCATAACTTCCTCAGTGTTCAAGATATTGCCATGAAATTTTAAGAAAAGATTCACATTCTGGTTTTGTAGGAAGCATCTTGTATCCTAAAAAACTAATAAAACTTAATAGCCAATTCAAAAGTAGCAGAAAGGGTATAAAATAACATTACAAGGCAAACTGTAGCATCAAATCAACTTAATGTGTCTTAGAAAGTAAGGAAATTAAACCAATTTAAAAACCATGTGGACATCTGTTTTGTAAACAAAGCTCATCAACCCAATGACAGCGTGTGAAATGTGTCAGGTGACGAAGACGAGCGTCAAAACACTTTGCAACAAGCACTGTTCCGGATAAAAAAAAAACATACTTCAACGTTTCAAATCATTGTCAAATTTGGAACAAGGGCAGATAAAATAATGTTCTTCATGGCAGCTTATCTGTTTAAGGGGTCACTAGAAAAATGCGGGTGATTTACTTTGATCCTCTTTTCAAAAAATTGTCTCTTCAAAACGCATCAACAAAAATTAAAAACTCGAAGACGAGGCTGTAGCTAACTACCTGACGGCAGCCCAATTTGTTGAAAYTCGTAGAAATAACGAAGCAGGAGGAAATAACAAGGAAACGCACCGAGCAGCCTTGCAAAATCTGGTCACAGCAGTTTGGGAAGAAAATGGCAGCAGCTGCTGACGAAATGTCAACATCCCTAGATTATCTCAAGTATGAGGGAAGTTATTGATGTTTGTTTAGGTGAAATCAGCTCATGTTTTCTTGCTGCAGTTCTCAGCAGAACCAATTTGATCATTTCACCTTCTTGTTTTCTATTTTTGTTCATAACTTACTTAGTGTTCAAGATATCACCATTTTTGAAATTTTAGGAAAACATTCACATTCTAGTTTTTGTAGGAAGCATCTTGTATCCTAAAAAACTAATAAGACTTAATAATAGCCAAGGCAAAAGTAGCAGAAAAGCTATAAAATAATATTACAAGGCTCATCTCAGCAAACTGCAGCACCAAATCAACCTAATGCATCTTAGAAAGTAAGG